CTGAAGGGAATGATTCTACTCACCAGAACAAATGCAAAAAAACTGTAGTTGTTCTGGTGAATGTACTGTCCCTTTAATTCCTATGAGTATGCTCTTCACTTTGGATATGATCATCAAACTCATGCATGGAAAAACGCTGCACCAATAAGCATCCTTTGTGTACTTCCACCCACACCTGTGTGTCTCAATCCCCCCCGGTCCCTCCACGTGTCTCATTCTCCTGCAGCCCCACCTTTTGTCTCATTCCCCCCAGCCTCTCCTTGTGTCTCATTCCAATCCAGCCCCTCCTTGTATCCCATTCCCCCCTAGCCTCTCCTTGTGTCTCATTCCCCCCAGACCCTCCATTTGTCTTAGTCAAATTCTGTGGGAGAAGTCTGGCACCCACCCACCACTGGGATACACATATAAACTCTTCTCAGATGGTACATTGTACCCATGCGTTTATATCAAATGAAGGTTGTCACATATAATAGATGCTAGAGGGGTTGCAGCCAGACTGGGACATATCATCAGTGATGTACTTCAACCGTATTGGACACAGGTGGCATTAAGCTTTGGATAAACCAATCTATGGATTTTATTTCCTCCTCTCCAGGCCTGAAATTAAGCTTCTTTCTAAAGTGGTCTGGCAGCCAGAAGAACATTGGAATCACCCAATCCTGCCATTCTATATCAAACTTCACTATATGCTGTCCGAGGTCAGTGACATGGAACTCACAGCTTAGCTACAGGACTCTATGCAACATTTATTCATCATGGATACATCAACTTATTCCATAGGGCAAGCATGTCAAACCCGCGGCCCACAAGGAACATCTTTGCGGCCCGGCGAGCCGCGAGTGCACGCTTAGTGTTATAGCAGAGAAGGCACCTGCTTTCCCCACATTGCAAGGGACTACTCTGCTAACACTTACCCGGCCGTGGAGGAGGGCCAGCGAGGGAGCTCAGGGTTCCTGCTCTTCACTGCTCACTCACGCGTGCCGTCTGTAGTGAAGCCGGGCGCCAGAATATGATGTCATATTCCGGCACCAGGCATCACTAAACCGCGCGAGGGAGCAGTGACGAGCAGATAGAAGGACCCCAGGGAGATGCCCCACATCGGCTCCAAAAGGTAGGGAGCAATAAAGAAAAGTATGTGTGTGCAAAAATGTGTAAGTGTGTGAGTGTTTCTGTTAGTGTGTGTCAGTGAGTGTGTGTCTGTCTGTGAGTGTGTCTGTCAGTGAGTGTGTCGTCTGTCAGTGAGTATGTGTGTGTGTCTGTCAGTGTTTGTGTGTGTGTCTGTGAGTATGTGTGTGTCTGTGTGTCTGTCTGTCTGTCAGTGAATATGTGTGTGTGTCAGCGAGAGTATCAGATTTGGCACAGGGTGGTAGAGGGGGGTGCTGTGGCTTAGTAGAGGGGGGACTGGGATTTAGTAGAGAGGGGTGCTGTGGTTTAGTAGAGAGAGGTGCTAGGGTTTTTTTTTATACTGTACTTTTTAAAATAAACCTACGTTTCTCTAAAAATTTAAGGTTTTTGGTTTTTTTGCGGCCTACATAAACTTAAACCTCGTTTATGTGGCCCATGCCAGACTTTGAGTTTGACATGCTTGCCATAGGGTGTTTTCCATGGACCTCTTGGTGGAAATGTTATTGTATTTTTTTCTTCTTTATTTTGTATATTCATATGTATCTGACCATTTTAATGATACTGGTTCTACTGATCAAACAGTTATTATATTTGTGTGGTAATGTATAGAAAATTCTATAAATAAAGAATTTATCACAAAAAAAAAAGACACTGAAGTTCCCCACACGTGCAATAAAGAGGGTCTGCCTAAAGCTACAGACATACTCCTCCTTTACAAGAAAGATGCTCCAAGAAAAAAAACAAAAAACCCTTGGTCTGTGGAGACTATTTGTTTCCCATAAACCACTCTCTAAGAGTTGTTTACAGGAGTAGTTTCTCCGCAAGTAAAGTTCCATTAGTTCTATAAAATACCTCTGCTGCCATCAGGTTGCATACAGTCCAGTTGCCTGGTTAGTAAATATTTCACTAAAATAGAGAAAGCTCCAGAATCACTGGGCAGCTCTGTCTCGGGATGACCAAGTTGTGAGTTTCAGGTGCCAATATCCAATCTGTGGGGCGATTTGTATATATTACTTACTAAGGACAATTTATGCAACCAAAATAAAATTAAGAACAAGAACAATGCATCTTATTTATACAGACTAACTTGTAATACTGTGAGTGTTATTGCTGTGGAACGCTTGTATAAATTCAGACAAGCCACGAATATGGAGGTCCTACAAAAGAGGGACAGTAGAATAGAAAAGAGGGACAGAGGGATGTGGTGTGGGCCTAAAAGCAGGACAGTTGGGATGTATGTTATTATAACAAAGGAAAGAGGTCCAGGCACTCCTTGGTTTAAGGCAATTTTAATGGAACCACAGCACCATTTTGACCTTCTCTGTCTTAATCAAGCTTGAGAAGGTCAAAACGTTGCTGTGGTTCCATTAAAATTGCCTATTTTTGAACCAAGGAGTGCCTGGACCTCTTTCCTTTGTTAAACTATTTCTATGGGAACCTGGTGTTTGGTTCTGATACAGCTAAGCACCCTGGCTCAGGCTGATGGGAGTGAGTGCAGTTCCCCACACACTCTGGAGGGATGTATGTTATTGCGACCTTGCAGATGGAATTATTTATAATATTAAAAATGTTATTTTTTAAAAAAAAAAAATTTCATGCACATCTGTTTGCTAAATGTAATAACTAACCCTAACCTATGAAGTTAGTTTTTTTTCTTCTTCTTCTTTTCTGATGTAGGAAGGCTGCTGTGAGGTTTATACGGATATCAGCAGCAAGCTACAGTTAAACATCTGCACATCTGGCAACAGTAACTTTTCGAGCAGATTCGTGTCTCCAGAAGCAAAGAAAGTTTGTATCATCTCTAGGAGGAAAAAAAAAAATTATATTGCAATATTTTTTTTTTTTTATTCTTTTATGCACTTCCTGTTTTAGTCACTCCAGTTTTAATGGTAAGCTATAATCAGTGCAATTTCTAGGAAAGCAACACTCAAAACCCCAGGGGAATATATAGATTAGAAAATATTTCAAATCAAATATTCCTGTTTATGAAAATGCCAAATGTTTAGTCACATTACTGTAATCTTGTATTTTCCATATGAGCCCGGCATTAAGGAAGTGGTCTGGTCACATGACACCAGAAATATAACTCCTTGTGATCTTTTACTGGAAAAAGCTTGATAGTTGGAAGAAAAGCTATGTGAGTTTTAAATGTCGATTAACTTACTCAATTTTAATATTTTAAAGATAATCAACTAATTAACCCAATTACTGCATTTCACATATGTCAAGAAATACTGCAAACACCATAACCACTAAAGCCGAGCTCCCCCCCCCCCAGAATAAGTATTAAAACTGTTTGCGAATGGTTTGAGAACTTACCTGAAGTGTGCTGGGCTCCCACTGCCACCCGCTCTTCATCAAGCCAGTAGTTCTGCAGTGCAGGGAGGTGCTCATTGGCTGAACTTTTGGATCCAGAGGAGGAGGTGCACAACAAATCCAAGGAAAGTTGCCAGACCTCTCAAGTAGTTTGACTACTTACCCTGGGAGGATGCCAGGGCACTCCTGGCATTATTGGCTATTGTGGTTATGGTGCTTTAAATGAGAAATGCATGTTTGAAAAATTACGTTTTAGAAATGTTTAGTAACATGATATAATGATTAGTATATTATAAATTGGTAACATATTTCATAGCCCTGTATTCTTTTTTTTTTTTTTATTCTTTATTTTTGTGTGCATTGTTAAGTACAAAACAGCCCGCCTGGCCACAACAGCCTTGCGGGTGATGGTTGTTACAGGACTTCACAACATAGTTAAGGCATACTTTTGTCTGTCACTTCCAAGTTGTAATGTCAGCTAGATCTGCACCTTTTATTTTTATTTTTACAAGTCAACTAGTGTGGAACTAAGGCCTCCATGGAGTGTATTTGCAGTGTATGTCATTCCCCCTCGAGTTCCAGGATCATGGTAATTCGGGGTGTGGGTATCTGAAGGTTGTCAGTCCGGAGGTAGTTGTCAGCGTGTTTGTACCCCTTAATGTGTTCCGTGTTGGGTTTGCGTGTGTGTGCGCATGGCTGTCCTTAGTGTTGTTCGTATCTGCGAGTGAATTATATGATGTCTGTTTATGTCAGCGTGTGTGCGTGGGGCAAGCGTTATCGCTCATGGAGCCCATTGAATCTTTGTGGTCTATCGATGGGTTGAGGTTTTGACTTCTTACCGAGGAAGTCGCGGGGGTGGGAGAAGGTATATTCTCCCCGGAGCTTGTGGTGTTCTTTGTCCGAGTAAGTCATGGCTGATGGCGGTCAGTCACAGTTATGGTATAGCGTAAGCTATACTTGTCGAGTGTGTGTGTAGTAATATCGTGCTGAAAACCAATAACAAAACACCAAAACATAAAAACCATAAAAAACAAGCATAGGGTAAAACAGTAGGTGAGCCGGCATGCAAAGCCCTAAAGAGGAGGCAGTGTCTGGTTAATGTATTAAAGTCGCTGGCCACCATTAATGCAGTTCAGAACAGCTCTTCCTCAGCGCCTGTGGAGGACACATAGGAGGTTGAAGGTCTGGCGCAGTGGGGCAGTTCAGGTTAGGGCTCCGCTTCTCTCAGTGTTCCTAGGAGTGAAAGAGATTACTGTCTCTGGGTTCCATGTGTGTGGCGTTGTGGGGTTCTCGCTTGTTTGGGTTAGAGCTGGCATCCCTAGTGCCCTCAGGAAAGTTTCTGCATCCTGTAGCGAGGAGAGGCTGTGCGTGGCGCCCCCCTTGGTCACTGTCAGGGACCTTGGGAATGCCCATTTATACTCAAGCTTTGCCTCTCTCAGTTGAGTTGTGACTGGGGCCAGGGATCTGCGCCATAGTAATGTGGTAAAAGGTAACGTGAGAGTTTTCAAATGTTAGCGGGGTCTTCCCTCTGACCGCCGTGAGAAGCTTAATTTTGTCGGTCACGGAGTGACATCGGATAATGACATCTTGAGGGGCGTCCGTTGGTGCTTGTCTGGCTTTTCTGATTCTAAAACAGCCGTCCAATACAAGTTTTTTGCCTGAGCAGGTGGCAGAAGCGTCGCTATGAGACGTCTGAGGTAGTGGGGTAGTTCTGATGAGTCTATGGTGTCTGGGATCCCCCTTAATTTTAGGTTAGCACGTCTGTTGCGGTCTTCTGTTTGGTCCAGTCTTGTGATTAGGGTGGACTGTGCGGCCTGCATATGGTAACAAGTGTCTTTTATCTCTCTCATCTCTCTTTGGAGATCTAGGATGTCCTCCTCTGTGGCCCGTGTGCGTGCGGTCATCGCTTGCATTTCAGTCTTTATTAGGTTGATATCTGCTGCATGCATTCTCCTCATTTCCATCAGGAGGTCGGCAATATCTTGTTTGGTAGCCAGGGTTTGTGTGTCTTGGCCGGCAAGTGACTCTGTGGCTTGGGGAGCGGTGGATATTTCTAATCCAGCCCCATGCTGTTCCCCCTCGTCTGGAGAGGCTGGCGTGCGCTCCGCCGGGGTCGCCATCTTGGGCGCCATTGGCCTCTGCAGCATGTCGCCGATATCTTGGGTGCCTCTGCCGGCGGTTGATGGAGGCTTTTGGGACCTGCGACCCATTGTGTAGCCGTCCAGTTCCGCGGGGTCCTTTAAGAGGTAGGTGCCGTGTCGAGCGTCGATTGCTGCGGCCTCCTTGCGGTTTGGAGTGTCAGGTAGGCCCCAGATTTTCGCCGGGTCTTTTTACCCGTTTGCGGGAACTGGAACGGCATTCGCCTGTGCCTTGGGCTCCAGGGGTACTCGGGTGGGTGTTTGGGTCGTCGGATGGTACCCTGGTACCTCAGATTGAAGCGGGTTGTCGTCGATTATTCTGAGCTCTCTGTTAGTGCGTCCGTTCAGGTTCAGCTCCAGGCTCCGCCCCCCCATAGCCTTGTATTCTGAGTATTCAAACTATAACCTCAACACCCACTCCCTCTCTGATATTCAAATTATTTCTAGATTTTATTAATCTATTTCCAAATCTAAAGTAAGAAGAACAAGTTACTGTATTTCCTTGAGCAAGTATTAGCAGTTAAACCACATTACTACTAGGATGATACTATTTCAATGTACCAAAAGGTACAGCTTTTTTAGAACTTAAACTCCCATGATCCTTTGCTGTCCATATCATTTTGTTGGAGAAGGGTCTGAGATGTGGACATAGGAGAGGGGGAGGAGGGGCAGGGGGTTTGACCCCTGTGATGAAGTTATGTCTTAAAAGGACACATTGCTGCCCAGATACAAAATAAATAAAAATCAATCACTTTAGTAGACATACCCCAGATTAAAACTTGCAAAACTCTAATAAATTTTTTCATTGGAGTTATATCTAAAAACAGCTTGCAAAACCTCTTCTTTTGCCGCCTTTGCAAGCTCTCCTCTCATAATCCCACCGAGACTTTCTGTGGCTGTCCAGTCACAGACTCCCCAATACAGCTCAATGAGAAGTCTTTGCAAGGCAGGTGCTCTGAGCAATTGCTGCCTTTTCAGTTCAGTCCAAAAAAGCTAACCAAACCAGAAAGTGACAAGACATGTTGTCTGCTTGAAAAGCCGGGGAGTGTAACCAGTAAAATTTATAAAAGTGTCAATTTCTACTAAAATATGGTAAATTCTTTTGTCACCAATAATGCCCAGTGTTCCCTCTGTAGCGGACTGTGTGTTGCTACTCATCATTGTATTGTTGGCTGTCCCTACGCCTAATTGTTGAAGTATTCTACTCTATTCTCCACAGTTCAATACGCTGGTAAAAGAACCAAGTAACCCCCTATCTGTTGTGTCATTCGTCTGGTTTTTCAGTAAAAATCTACTTTGAACCATCTGAAGTGTACCATTCAACAAACAAACAAAATACCAAACAACCAGGCCACCCTGGAGCTGAGCGTGGCACTAATTGACCTCCCCTATCGTTCTTCACATTACCTCAATTGACAATTATCCGAACGCACTGTGTATTCCCTGGGTGGCCACCGTTCGGCATACAAGCACGTGGCAGTGGCAGTTTCCATATGAACGCACCAGCGGTGTTTGGTCATCGAGTGTCTGGAACCCAAATCGGACACTCGACCACGCGAACACTGCAGAGACCGCCATACTTCCACCCATTCATGGGGAAACATACGAACGGAACGGCGTTCGGTGAAAGGAATTATACGAACCAGGAGAATCACCCGAACCCAGGCAGAGTATAGTAAACAATTTCGTGATTTTCACCTCACGAACGGAGACCGACCGCAAGGCCAAAACACATGGAACTCTCTTCGGCTAACACCTCGTGTGCGGTCGGTAAAACGAAGACCTCCAGGAAATTCACGAACCCTTGAACCGATCTGGGTGATTTTTCAGTATGTTGCTCACCCAGATCAGGGCTATCAGGGGATATGTGATTTATGGGTGTAAGTTATAGTCTTGGGGTACATCCAGGAATTGGGGGAAATTGGGTGCTTAAACTGTATAGATAATTAAGTTACCTCTCACGCTAAGGGGAGGAAACCTGTGTACTGTAACCAGCTATGGATTGGATAATTGAAGATTATGCTAGCGCACTGTACTGATAATCTTAATTTTAATAATGACAGGAGGCGAATATTTTGCATTAACTTTCTTTACTAGCTCCACAGCAGCAAAGAAAAAAACAGTTGAATGAAAGAACCAATCAGCATGAGTCAGAGAGTATATAAGTTCTAGCCTAGTCATTCATTTCCTCTTGACTAGTTGCGACATCACAAGTCTATATTATGATTAGAGATGTCGCGAACCGTTCGCGAACTTCCTGCGAACGGCTCGCCACGGTTCGCCACGAACCGTTTGCGGCGAGCTCCGGTCAGCTGACACATACCGGCCAATCTCCAGCAGACCCTCCCTCCCAGACCCTCCCACCTCCTGGACAGCATCCATGTTGAAGCTGTCGTAGTCCACTCTGGGAATACCCCTGGGATAGGACTCAGGAAACCCCTTGCATGGGGAATTGTATAAATTGTGGAGCCTGTGAATAAAGCCTTCAGTTGACTCTCAGAACTGTGTTTCATCCGGTTACTGGGAGATTTGGGATATTGCCTTGCTTTTCAGCGCTTGACTGAACCAGCAGAGATCGTGGGATTTATTATTGCCGCTCCGCTACATTCATATTTTGCAATTTTAACGCTCAGGAAGAACAGCGAAGGCAGCATTGGACAATTGACGAAAGTAGAATGTCCGAGAAGTCGATTCGCGTGACCAGTCAGCAGTGTGCAGGATGTCTGTTAATGAAGCGCCTGCTAAGAAGGGAGCTGATGCTGCTGCCCCCCGCACGGAATGTGCACCAAAGGACGAGTCCACTCCGGCTAGAGAAAGAAGCCATCTGACCCATCTGGCTAGTGTGGTTACTGACACCGGTCCATGTTGACTGACATATGAGACTAGCAATTGTTTCGCTGTTGGTGAATGTAATGTCTCTGTGGCTGTCATATAAGCTCGTAGGGCCTTGACCACGCACAATTGGGGATCCGAGGTGAAGAATGGGTAAAACACCGATAACGAATCCGATTTGGTCCTCTGGGAAATATGGAATGCGTCTTTGTCGAACGCCCTAACATCCGATACCCTACGGAAGGAGACCATGCACAGCAGGAAGGTGAATTTTGCTGTCAATTGCTTTAGTGATAGCATTTCGTTAAGGGGCCATCCCCTTAGGAAACGGAGTACTACGTCCACGTCCCATAGGTGTCGGTATTTTGGTGTTGGAGGTCGTCTCAGCTTGATGCCCCGTAGCAATCGACAGATCAGGGAGTCTTGTCCTACCGGTCTTCCTTGAGACGGCACGTGGTCTGCCGAAATAGCGGATCTGACCACGTTGATGGTGCGATACAATTTTCCCTCTTCGAACAGCTGTGCTAGGAAGTTCATGATATCGGATATATGGGCCGTAAAGGGATCCAGGTTCCGCCCCATGCACCAATCGGTCCAAGAGTGCCATGCTGATAAGTAGCTCCTTCGCGTTCCAGGGGCCCAGGAGTCCCATAGGAGGTCCTTAGTTGTTGCCAATAGGTTTCCGGTACTCCATGCTCCCCGGAAAGATTCCAAACTATCAATGACAGTCATCCGTCTAGGAGCATCGGGTGTGTGTCCCCCATCGGGTTCCTGAGTAGACTGTAATCGCTCGGTAATAAGATCAGATCCCGCCACGGCAGTTCTAGCAGATCCGGGAACCACGGTTGGCTCGGCCAGTTGGGTGTCAGGAGCGTTATCAGCACTCCCCGTCGTCGAACCTGGTGGAGAACCCTCGCGATCATGGCGAATGGAGGAAAGGCGTAAGCTCCTCGTGGGGGCCAATGTTGGGTGAAGGCGTCGACCGCCAGGCATTCTGGATCCGGAAGCCAGCTGTAAAACTGTGGTACCTGGTGATTGTTGCGGGAGGCAAATAGGTCCAGTGTGAAGGGCCCCATCCGTTTGAATATCTGTGGGTCCAGCTTCCAATCGCTGACGTCTCTCTAGTGTCGGGAGTACCAATCTGCCTTACGATTCGATTCCCCTGGAAGATATTCTGCTTGTAACGTAATGTTGCTTGGGAGGCAGTAATCGAAAATCTCCTTCGTCAGCTCCACCAGTGTTTGGGAGCATGTACCACCCAGATGATTGATGTATCTCACTGCCGATATGTTGTCCATCCGAAGAAGAATACAACAGTTTGATTGTCCTTTCGCCAGACTGCGTATTGCAAAGCATCCCGCCAGCAGTTCAAGGCAGTTGATGTGCAGTGAGAGTTCCTGGTTCGTCCATGTGCCTCCCGTGGATGCCTCTCCATCCATGGCGCCCCAACCTAATTGGCTGGCGTTTGATTCCAGCACGAAGTCCGGGTGGTTGCCGAAAATGGCTCAGCCGTTCCAAGCATGCATACATTTGAGCCACCAGTCTAGTTCCTGTCGTACCTCGTTCGTCAGCGGAACTGGTTGATTGTACGTCTCAAGAAGCGGGCCTTCAATTGTTGCATGGCTCGGTAATGCAGGGGGCCTGGAAATATGGCTTGGATCGAGGAGGACAGAAGGCCTACGATTCGCTCTAGTTGTCGCAGTGGAATGGAATCGCATTTGAGTACTCTGCGAATTTCCTTTTTGATGGCTGTCACCTTGGTCTTTGGGAGATGCAGGGTACAAGACCTGGAATCTATCTCGAAGCCCAGGAATTGGATGGTTTGCGTGGGTGTCTTTGCGGATTTCTCTCTGTTGACTATGAAGCCCAGAGATTCCAATAATTGTACTGTATATTTTGTATGTTGGACCACCAACTCCCTTGTCCTGCAGAACAAGAGTATGTCGTCTAGATAAATGATGCACCTGATTCCATGTATCCTGAGGTGAGAAACTACTGGTTTCAACATCTTCGTAAAACACCATGGTGCCGAGCTCAAACCGAAGGGCAGGCAAGTGAATTGCCAAGGGGCGCCGTTCCATGGAAACCGGAATTGGGATTGAGAGATATGCGTCCTTGAGATCCAGACACGTAAACCAGTCCGTGTCCTGGAGGAGGTCACTTAGTAGATGTATGCCCTCCATTTTGAAGTGGCGGTAGGTTACATGAGCATTCAATGCTCTGAGATTGATTACCGGTCTGAAGTCTCCGGTTTTCTTGCGGACCAAAAACATATTGCTGAAGAAGCCTCCTCGCCCCTGGGCGGGTTGTATGGCGCCTTTCATCTGTAATTCGTGCAGCTCCTTTTCTATGAGGTGTGCGTCTGACGTTGAGAGGTGTGATGGTGGAGGAGGACGTGCCTGCACCGGATTTGAACGTAGCTCAATGCAGTATCCTCTGACTGTCTGTAGTACCCAGGCGTCTGAAGATAGTTCTGCCCAATTCTGGGAAAAAAGAGAAACACAGCCTGCAGACATGGTTAGTTGGGACGTAACTATGGGTTG